AAACTGTACTAAACTCTTTTCCATAAACCAATCATTTCCCATCAGGCATCTGTCAGTACCAAGGCTAAGCACCCTTCCACCACAGGTGAGGAGTGCGTCAGTACTGTACCTTCCTATATCATCCTGACAAATGTTATCACACCAAGCAACAAAAGCTTCACGATTAAGCATTAAACAAACATTAATTTATATTCATCTGCTATAGCTTTCCTTGCATTAAGTTTAAAGATAAAGAATCAGACATACTGATAAAAACAAAGCTACTTATTTATGGATGTCATCAGAATGATGTGGTAATATATATACAACCCTGAGTGGTGAGTCCTTCACCTCAATAAACACTTTGTAGCTACTAAAACTAAAAAAGTTGTAGATCCCAGGTGTGTGAATACACTGTAAATTAATTTTGAGCCTAACACAGACTTCCTTTCAACCCTTTGTTGAAATTCAAGCAAATGCTGGTTATTAATCTTTATAGCTCATCCCTAATGTAACTGACTTATGTTGGATGTTTGAAGGAATAAATCTGGAGATACTGCTGTAGAAACACAAGGGGAGGCTAATTTTAGCTCAAGCAGCATAACTTTAGTCCTTACATCCTCTGGTGATCATCCAAGGTGTGTAGTCCTTCTGGTGATCATCCAAGGTGTGTGGTACCTCTGGTGATCATCCACAGTGTGTGGTACCTCTGGTGATAATCCAAGGTGTGTGGTACCTCTGGTGATCATCCAAGGTGTGTGGTACCTCTGATCATCCAAGGTGTGTGGTACCTCTGGTGATAATCCAATGTGTGTGGTACCTCTGGTGATCATCCAAGGTGTGTAGTACCTCTGGTGATCATCCACAGTGTGTGGTACCTCTGGTGATAATCCAAGGTGTGTGGTACCTCTAGTGATCATCCAAGGTGTGTAGTACCTCTGGTGATAATCCAATGTGTGTGGTACCTCTGGTGATCATCCAAGGTGTGTGGTACCTCTGGTGATAATCCAATGTGTGTGGTACCTCTGGTGATCATCCACAGTGTGTGGTACCTCTGGTGATCATCCAAGGTGTGTGGTACCTCTGGTGATCATCCAAGTGGTGTAGTACCTCTGGTGATCATCCAAGGTGTGTAGTACCTCTGGTGATAATCCAAGGTGTGTAGTACCTCTGGTGATCATCCAAGGTGTGTAGTACCTCTGGTGATCATCCAAGGTGTGTGGTACCTCTGGTGATAATCCAAGGTGTGTAGTACCTCTGGTGATCATCCAAGGTGTGTAGTACCAAGGTGTGTAGTACCTCTGGTGATCATCCAAGGTGTGTGGTACCTCTGGTGATAATCCAAGGTGTGTGGTACCTCTGGTGATCATCCAAGGTGTGTGGTACCTCTGGTGATAATCCAAGGTGTGTAGTACCTCTGGTGATCATCCAAGGTGTGTAGTACCTCTGGTGATCATCCACAGTGTGTGGTACCTCTGGTGATAATCCAAGGTGTGTAGTACCTCTGGTGATCATCCAAGGTGTGTAGTACCTCTGGTGATCATCCAAGGTGTGTAGTACCTCTGGTGATCATCCAAGGTGTGTGGTACCTCTGGTGATCATCCACAGTGTGTGGTACCTCTGGTGATAATCCAAGGTGTGTAGTACCTCTGGTGATCATCCAAGGTGTGTAGTACCTCTGGTGATCATCCAAGGTGTGTGGTACCTCTGGTGATCATCCACAGTGTGTGGTACCTCTGGTGATAATCCAAGGTGTGTAGTACCTCTGGTGATCATCCAAGGTGTGTAGTACCTCTGGTGATAATCCAAGGTGTGTAGTACCTCTGGTGATCATCCAAGGTGTGTGGTACCTCTGGTGATCATCCACAGTTTGTGGTACCTCTGGTGATCATCCAAGTGGTGTAGTACCTCTGGTGATAATCCAAGGTGTGTAGTACCTCTGGTGATCATCCAAGGTGTGTGGTACCTCTGGTGATCATCCAAGGTGTGTGGTACCTCTGGTGATCATCCAAGTGGTGTAGTACCTCTGGTGATCATCCAAGGTGTGTAGTACCTCTGGTGATCATCCACAGTGTGTGGTACCTCTGGTGATCATCCAAGGTGTGTAGTACCTCTGGTGATCATCCAAGGTGTGTAGTACCTCTGGTGATCATCCAAGGTGTGTGGTACCTCTGGTGATCATCCACAGTGTGTGGTACCTCTGGTGATAATCCAAGGTGTGTAGTACCTCTGGTGATCATCCAAGGTGTGTAGTACCTCTGGTGATCATCCAAGGTGTGTGGTACCTCTGGTGATCATCCACAGTGTGTGGTACCTCTGGTGATAATCCAAGGTGTGTAGTACCTCTGGTGATCATCCAAGGTGTGTAGTACCTCTGGTGATAATCCAAGGTGTGTAGTACCTCTGGTGATCATCCAAGGTGTGTGGTACCTCTGGTGATCATCCACAGTTTGTGGTACCTCTGGTGATCATCCAAGTGGTGTAGTACCTCTGGTGATAATCCAAGGTGTGTAGTACCTCTGGTGATCATCCAAGGTGTGTAGTACCTCTGGTGATCATCCACAGTGTGTGGTACCTCTGGTGATCATCCAATGTGTGTAGTATCTCTGGTGATCATCCAAGGGGTGTGGTACCTCTGGTGATCATCCAAGATTTGTCAAATCATTAGCTACTACAAACAGAAACACATATATGCAACAAAAATGAATTTAATATGTGTACTTTTGCAATCTGGTTATTATATGGCTAACCATTTAAGATAAAGTCTGTATAGTTTTTAAAAGTCTTCAGGAACAAAAATTAATGTAAAGCCAACTATGCCTTACAAATATACAATTTACAACGGTTTCCATTACAACTCAACATTTTGTGTATTTGGAATGATGAGTAAATCTTGTTTTGAGATATTCTTGGCAAATACGAATATGAAGTTCTCACTGTAACATCAATGAAGATAAGTAACCAATCATGACTCTGCCTGGAGCACAAAACCAACACCTTATAGCATAGAAACTTAATTATCTGTTAGTTTCAGAAATCTTCTGTTTAATTCTTAAAAATCTTGAGTCTAAAATTCACAATCATTCTCTCATTACGTTAAACATACAGCCTTCAGCTGACTGACTGTATAAGCTCGGATTAGTGACTTTCCAAAGATAAATATGGCATTCTTCCATAAACTTATGGTTAATATTTTATTTAGTATATAAACATAATTATCTCTAGTGAATGGAAATTAAATCCAGGCCTAACGTCAGTAATCACATCTTTACACAAATCAGGTGAATCACCTGAACATCTAACACTGACCCAATCTGGACTAAACTGAAGTTCCACAGTTGGGAGTGTGTACCAGGCGGTATATCAAACGCCTCATTTGTAAATCTCTGCTTGTTCGACTACTTATCAAAAGACTTCACAAGCGCCCTATATCTCTTCTTTAGGTAGGTTTTGGTCAGTTTTGACCTTCTAAGGACATTTTTTCATGCCTTGTCAGTTTTCAAAGCCAACTTTAATTGTAGCAAATTATTGTTCTGTAGTTTCATAGGCATTTCTGGAAAACAGATGTAAAATGACAATGTACTCCATATAGGCAGGATAATGGCAGTCAGAATCATGTGTCTTTTCAACATAATTAGACACAACACGGTCTTAATATTATTCTATATGTAATGATGACCAGACATCACATTTTCAATATTTGTTTGAACATAAGTCCCATTTTAACCATGGTGTAAGCCTTAGAAACATATTCTGTTATTACAACCCAGCATTATAATATTATTATTTCTCAACAAAATATATACAATATGTATTTTAAGGGAAATTTGGATATATATCTATAAAACAAGGGTATTTTTACTTCTAGTTATTAATTAAAGTATACATTATGGACACTGAAGTTGAGTTGTTTCCTGTAAAAATCCTTCTGTGTACGTTTAAACCCCAAAATAATGAAACTGTAAAACCCAACCTTTTGAAATCTTTATCTTTGCAGAAAACATACAGCATATCAACCCCAAGAAAAAAAGGAAACATGTACAGTTAACCAAGATACTGGGCAGGAACACACTGGATCATGGTGATATTTTTTACAAGCTCTACTGACATATCTGAATTTTTTGGGGTCTAAGTAAAGTTGACCAAGCTATAATTGTAGTCAGGGTACATGAAACACTACGTCAACATGACAGGAACATTATTGACCTTTATTTACCTCTAGATGACCTTAATTTATTCAGCATACCTATGTGATAAACAATATGTGTACCTGTTCGTGTGATTACAGGTGACAATAGCACCAAAGATAGCTTATTATCTAGATATTCAAATTCCTGATCGTCCTGTCATAATTCTGAGATAACAGGTCTCAAGTGTTCATTGTTACTGTCACGCTTCCTGTCTGAAGCCAACCAGTTTTCTTGTTCAATTACATCTGTATGTAAATTTGTTTTTCTTTTATATTTTTGTTCTGATATTGGTTATCAAGGAATATGTTCTGTAGGATTATATAGATTTGTCAACCCAATCTTTTTGACTCGGATTTTAAGCTTTATGCTAATTTTCACAATTTTTTGCAAACATTAGAATCAATATAAGAAAAGCAACAACACAATACCAATCAAAATCTTCTTCCATGTCAAAAGCCATCGATTCATAGTGTGATCAAGCCCTACCCTCAATCTTACTAACTGGTAGAGATTGTCAGTCCAGACAATGTTCTATCACACAAAATACTGACTAGTGGAGATTGTCAGTGCAGATAATGTTCTATCTCACAAAATACTGACTATTCTACTGACCAGTGTTCTACCCTTCATTCGACTGACCAGTGTTCTATACCTCATCCTACTGACCAGTGTTCTATCCTCCATTCTACTGACCAGTGTTCTACCCTTCATTCTACTGACCAGTGTTCTACCCTTCATTCTACTGACCAGTGTTCTACCCTTCATTCTACTGACCATTGTTCTACCTCTCATTCTACTGACCAGTGTTCTACCCTTTATTCTACTGACCAGTGTTCTACCCCTCATCCTGCTTACCAGTGTTCTACCCCTCATCCCACTGACCAGTGTTCTACCCCTCACCCTCCTGACCAGTGTTCTACCCCTCATCCTACTGACCAGTGTTCTACCCCTCATCCTCCTAATCAGTGTTCTACCCCTCATCCTACTGACCAGTGTTCTACCCCTCATCCTTTTGACCAGTGTTCTACCCCTCATCCTCCTAATCAGTGTTCTACCCCTCATCCTACTGACCAGTGTTCTACCCTTCATCCTTTTGACCAGTGTTCTACCCCTCATCCCACTGACCAGTGTTCTACCCCTCATCCTTTTCACCAGTGTTCTACTCCTCATCCTCCTAATCAGTGTTCTACCCCTCATCCCACTGACCAGTGTTCTACCCCTCATCCTCCTAATCAGTGTTCTACCCCTCATCCTCCTAATCAGTGTTCTACCCCTCATCCTCCTGACCAGTGTTCTACCACTCATCCTCCTTATCAGTGTTCTACCCCTCATCCTACTGACCAGTGTTCTACCCCTCATCCTCCTAATCAGTGTTCTTCCCCTCATCTTCCTGACCAGTGTTCTACCACTCATCCTACTGACCAGTGTTCTACCACTCATCCTACTGACCAGTGTTCTACCCCTCATCCTCCTGATCAGTGTTCTACCCCTCATTCCACTGACCAGTGTTCTACCCCTCATCCTCCTGGCCAGTGTTCTACCCCTCATCCTACTGACCAGTGTTCTATCCCTCATCCTCCTAATCAGTGTTCTACTCCTCATCCTCCTAATCAGTGTTCTACCCCTCATCCTCCTAATCAGTGTTCTACCCCTCATCCTCCTAATCAGTGTTCTACTCCTCATCCTCCTTATCAGTGTTCTACTCCTCATCCTCCTAATCAGTGTTCTACTCCTCATCCTCCTAATCAGTGTTCTACCCCTCATCCTCCTTATCAGTGTTCTACTCCTCATCCTCCTTATCAGTGTTCTACTCCTCATCCTCCTAATCAGTGTTCTACTCCTCATCCTCCTAATCAGTGTTCTACTCCTCATCCTCCTAATCAGTGTTCTACCCCTCATCCTCCTAATCAGTGTTCTACCCCTCATCCTCCTAATCAGTGTTCTACTCCTCATCCTCCTAATCAGTGTTCTACTCCTCATCCTCCTAATCAGTGTTCTACTCCTCATCCTCCTAATCAGTGTTCTACCCCTCATCCTCCTAATCAGTGTTCTACCCCTCATCCTCCTAATCAGTGTTCTACTCCTCATCCTCCTAATCAGTGTTCTACTCCTCATCCTCCTAATCAGTGTTCTACTCCTCATCCTCCTTATCAGTGTTCTACTCCTCATCCTCCTAATCAGTGTTCTACTCCTCATCCTCCTAATCAGTGTTCTACTCCTCATCCTCCTAATCAGTGTTCTACCCCTCATCCCACTGATCAGTGTTCTTCTCTTCATTTTACTGACCTGAATGAACCTTGTTGTGTGATATCATATTCATCTCTAAGACAGGCTAACATGCTGTTGTCAGGCAATAAAATCAGCCAACAGACATTTCATTCTGAAGGTGTGAAAAGGTTCAAGCTTTAATATTACCTTCAGGACATTTTAAAACAAATATTTCTAGAAAAATCATGACATCAGATATTTTTTCTAAATTACACAATTTTTAATCCCTGAAGATGTAAAATCTATTTAGTAATTAAAAAGATCATAAATCCCATTTGTCTGTAAAGTTTGATTAAATAAGACGAAGACAGCATATGTCTCCAGTTCATCTAGTTCAGAGACTCTGCTACAAGTATGGTTTTATTAAAGTCATGATACAATCTGTGTTACAGGAGGGAACTGAATACACATCAAAGGCAGTCACAGACTCCAAAGTTTTACAGGAAAAGATTAAACACTCTTTAAGATAAATTTTTGTCAACTATCAAACAGAAGGAACTGTAATGACACCATTAATGATGAATTCATAACCACTGAAGTTTTTGAAAATAAGATGCTTGATCACTTCTGTCAATTTTTCAGCAGTGGAATTTAATCTATGACCTTGAACTTCATGGATAGGTAAATTATTTCCTTATATACATTAATTATTACCTTTATTTTTTCAATAAATACCTATTCACTTCTATCATTCATAATAAAATAAAACTTTCCTACAACAATCTTGTTCAAATTTTTATGACATTATTCCATTTTTTGTAGCACAAGCAGTAAAGTCAACCCTGATTGTCTGGTTGTCTGATTGGCTTTGTCTGGTAGATATAACTAGTTGTCAATACAGCAGTACTATGTAGGTACATTGGTTACAAAACTTTGGACTTCTGTAAGAATTTTCTGTCAATCAACTATTAGTGGTCAAAAGGTCACTGATTCGTTGATATGAAAAACAAGTCAACTTCAGACACTTAAAATTATTTCCAACCAATTGTTCGAGCTCAGAAAATGTTAATTTTGTCATTTTCATGAATATTTAACTGAAGCTCATTGCATATCCTCAATAATGTATTATACATTTTCTGTTTTCCTATAAAAACCTCATAACAGATGGAGCTCACCCTGACTTCAGCCAGTGTTTACATGAACTTGTCATGAAGAACAAGAATGTGTCCAATTACTTTAAGTCTTTTGGCTTGTCACAAAACCAAATATTTACGAAGAATGGGTACCTGTAAATCATAAGGAATTTAGTCAGAGTATAAGGATACAGGCCTGACCAGGGACATAAAAACTTCTTCTCTCATAAGTCATCATTATAGAGCAGGCAGTGTATACCAATGAAACTACAATAAAAACATCCTATAGGTCAGTCTGTTTCTGTCACTGGTCATTATCTATGATAGGCTCATATCACTGACCACCAAGGAAGGAACATCAGTCATCGCACACTCCAACAAGGAGTGAAAAATCTGTAAACCTAGAAACATGCTAGTGTAGCAGCTCCCAGCTGTAGGAGCTATAGGCTTTCCTCTGATATCTTATCATTGGGTACATTATCAAAAACCTGTCACATTTAAATATTATATACATGGCTATTTACATTGACTTTGTGTGACTTAATATCACTTTTACATGCAAAGCTGTAGAGGAAGCTGATATCACACCTATATCAAGTATTTCCAGCAGGACCTCTGTGGTAACCTGATGCCATCATTCCAGTCATGCTATCCCAATTTGAAGACATTACAAAAATTTAATGTAAAATAAATGGAAAGGTCCAAATTCTTGCCTAATAGTAATACATTGCTCAAGAAAATATATCTAGTTAAGATATAAAACATCACATAGAAAGTCAATAATGCATTTTTCTTTCTTGATGAAATTTCAACTCCATGCACACAATAGATACAAACTTTACACAGTTTGTTTTAGTTAGGATAAAGATTCTGTCCACCTACCTTACAAGAGGATGTTTCACCGTACAGAACAAAATATCAACATCCATATTCACCAATTAAACAGATTTCTCACTTAATAATTACTAAGAGGAGTTTAAAGAAAGTTGGATACTAATTCTGGTGTAGAAATCCTCTGATAGCACCAAATCTCCAAAGCTTCTGGTGTTCAATATTAAGAGTATTATTGTGTGTACCTATATCAGTCATCACTGCTTGGGAGTGGGGATGTAGTTTTACTGGAGCAGTGAGCAATACTAGTACAGACAGAAGCCAGAGAGTAAGGAGGAAGAGGATATAGAAGTGTGTATGATAGAAGAGAACAACAGGCCAAATGAGCCTGCAGTGCTCACATGGTATAAATATATACCAGCCAAATATTATGCCTCTAGACGTTTTAGGTCATGAGAAATCATTTAAAGATTTTAACAAATTTGACCCCTGTGACCTTGTACAGAGGTCAAGGTCATTTCTTTGCAAAACATTTTGTTGAGCTCCATCCTAGAAACATACTAATCCAATATCATGCCCCTAGGCCTTTTAGTTCATGAGAAGAAGATGTTTAAATGTTTTAACAAATTTGTCCCCTATGACCGAGAAAATGGGTCAAAGTAATTTGTTTTCCTAAAAATTGTTGGACTTAATCATGGAAACATACCAGCCAAATATCATGCCTGAGAAGAAGTTATAACAAATTTGACCCCTGTGACCTTGAATACAGGTCATGGTCATCTGTTTTCGCAAACTTTGTTGAGCTACATCATAGCAACATATCAGCCAAATATCATGCCTCTAGGCATTTTATTTAATGCGATGAAGTTGTTAAAATGTTTTAACAACTTTGACCCTTGTGACTTTGAATATGAGTCAATGTATATTTATTTTTGCAAACTTTATTGAGCTTTTTCATAGAAACATACTAACCAAATATAATGTCTCTAGGCTTTATAGTTCACGAGAAGAAGTCATTTAAAGGTTTTAACAAATGTGATCACTATGACCTTTAATATATGTTAAGGTCATATCTTTTCACAAACTTTGTCGGGCTTCATCCTAGGAATATACCAGCCAAATATCAAAATATTTGGTCCTTTGGTTATTGAGAAGAAGTTGTTTAAAAGTAAAAGTTGACAAAACGCCAGATGGATGCCAGACGGACGCCGGATGCCACAACACAACAAACGCTCACTTGGCCCTGCAGGCCTTCATGGATGTCATGAGGTAAAGTTAGGTTGAAGATGGTATGAGATAGAAGGTTGCGGAAGGGTGAGTGTGCATCATGTTCTATGATAAATATCTTACCATAACAGAAAAGTAAACGAGGAAGACAGAAACAAGTGCAGGACAGTAGCATAAAACCAGAATTCCACAGAAATGAGTGTTGTTGGTGTCACAAGCAGAAACAATTTTCTATTTATGGTAACACTAATAATGTTTTTTGATCTTTAGGCTAGAAAAACAATCCTGTGCAACCTATTTACAGTAAAGAAGCAACTACATTTTTTTTTAAATGGCTCAAAGGAATTTAACTGATTGGATAGAACCAATTTTCTAATAGTAGTATTTGTAATCTTGACCTTTGACCTTCTAGTGTGAAAAGCAATGCCAAGAAAGCATATTCCTTAAGGAAGTATGTATTGATTTTTAATATGCCTACAGGGTACAAGGGAATTCAAGGTATTGCATAAAAGTGTTTGTTGGGACAAAGACAACAACTAATGTCATCATACAGTGATGTATAACAAGTGTCAGTGTTGCTATTTTTGAATGCTTTTAGATTTTGTAACCATAATCAATATTACAATTTTATAAGAGGATCCCTGAAACCTATGACTAAAATAACATCAAACAAACCAAGACCATTTATAAGAAAATAAATCTAAAACCAAGTTATCTATTTATTCATTAAGAGTACCCATAACACCAGACAAAAAGCATGAGAGGAAAAACAGTTCCCACTCTACGTTCTCTCTAAGAGTAAAACTCTGCTGAAACCAGTATCCAGAACAGTCTGACCACTTTTCTTCATGATTTTGAGGAAGACCCTGTTACTTGTAGGACCAGTTTTGAGAGTAACAGCTCCCCTGAAGTGATTGATGAGCCCGCTGACAGGCTCTAAGATAGGGTAAGATAAGATCCACTGTAGTCCAGAAGCATCTCCCTTCACCTCATTATCGCTCCCTTTAAATAATTAAGGGTCAACAAATTGTCTGTAGATAAAGGGTTGATTACATACGATGTGGATTGTGGAATTTTATACAGATTGTTTTATAAACGAGATGCTTCTTACCCTGTTACAGTGGAATACAACAAAACTCTTATAAAATTGTGAAACTTCTAATTTGTATATGGAATAAATGAAGTACACAGCACTGCCTGTCACAGCCACAATTTAACAATACTTGATATGTTTAACTGCCACTGACAAAAATTGAAGATAAAATTGATCATTCACATTTATCTTAGTACTAACTTACTCCCATCCAAAAGTACACTTTTGGAACCCAGTACCTGAAGATCTCTAACACACACTCCTTCACTATATGTAATATTCATATTAACATTCATACTTCTGATTTTTTCTCTAGGGTACTGCAATTGTGTGTCAATAAACATGATAAGTAATATAGTATATGTATGTCAACATATACTTATTAAGTAGAATGTTTCAATGTATAAGGAGGACATTTGATTACTGAAGTGTGTTAGAGAAAGAGTAAGGAGACTGAATCATATTTAAGGGAGAAAGTAAAAGACTGAAACATGTTATAGATGGTGTACAAGAGTGAAGTATTAGATGGGTGTATAGGACTGATGCATATAGTATGGAGTGTATAGGACTTTAGGCCTTTTAGGTGAAGGAAATAGGACTGCAGCATTATTTAAGTTGAGTATACAGGACTGAAGCAATTATTAAATAGAGTGTAGAGGACAGAAGCATTTTAGGTGGAGTCTATAGGACTGAAGCACTTTAGGTGGAAGGTACTTTAGTGTATTAGGAAGAATGCGGTACAAGTATTTTCGCAAGACATTTTCCAGAGGACAGATTACAAAGCAGGTAGATTTGTTAAGAAGTGAAAAACACAAGTATTTAGCAGACTTAAAGACTGGTAATGCTTGACATACTAGGTGCTACGTACTCTAGTGGACGCCATCTTATCACCAACAAAGTAGACTCATTTCTCATCTTCCAAAAAAAAAAAAAAACATCAGAAAGCCTTTCTAGTTTTTTTATATATGATTCTGAGTGTAATTGGTAGTGCTTTCTTATAATATACCAGTGTTCATCTCTCCTACTGACAGTAAGTCACAAATCATGTCACTATATTTATATTTCATAATTGGCAATATGAAGGAGTATAAAAATAATATTTAACTGTACAGAAATTATAATCATTATTGGAGCCATGATAGACCAGTCACATATAGAGCGTTGACCTCTCAGGTAAAAGATCTGAGGTACATGGTTTGGTGCTCCCCACCTGTATCATTTGGTGTTTCTCAGGAGGCTGAGAAACAGACCACTGTAATGCACACAATGTACCTCCTGCATAACATTATCCTGATCATTTTTATGTATGTATAAAAGGAACCTCTGAAATAACCTCAGATTCCATGGAATATTCACAAAACAATCATCTAGCCTTAAAGGACAACTAGGGAGTCTTTCATCACAACGGTTGGAATCCCCACCCCCACTGCAGAAGAATATCACCTACACGTTTTAGTTGGAATCCCCACCCCCACTGCAGAAGAATATCACCTACACGTTTTAGTTGGAATCCCCACCCCCACTGCAGAAGAATATCACCTACACGTTTTAGTTGGAATCAGAAGAATATCACCTACCCCCACTGCAGAAGAATATCCCCTACACGTTTTAGTTGGAATCCCCACCCCCACTGCAGAAGAATATCACCTACACGTTTTAGTTGGAATCCCCACCCCCACTGCAGAAGAATATCACCTACACGTTTTAGTTGGAATCCCCACTCCCACTGCAGAAGAATATCATCACTTGGAATCCCCACACGTTTTTTTAGTTGGAATCCCCACCCCCACTGCAGAAGAATATCACCTACACGTTTTAGTTGGAATCCCCACCCCCACTGCAGAAGAATATCACCTACACGTTTTAGTTGGAATCCCCACTCCCACTGCAGAAGAATATCACCTACACGTTTTAGTTGGAATCCCCACCCCCACTGCAGAAGAATATCACCTACACGTTTTAGTTGGAATCCCCACTCCCACTGCAGAAGAATATCACCTACACGTTTTAGTTGGAATCCCCACTCCCACTGCAGAAGAATATCACCTACACGTTTTAGTTGGAATCCCCACCCCCACTGCAGAAGAATATCACCTACACGTTTTAGTTGGAATCCCCACTCCCACTGCAGAAGAATATCACCTACACGTTTTAGTTGGAATCCCCACTCCCACTGCAGAAGAATATCACCTACACGTTTTAGTTGGAATCCCCACTCCCACTGCAGAAGAATATCACCTACACGTTTTAGCACTCCCACTGCAGAAGAATATCACCTACACGTTTTAGTTGGAATCCCCACTCCCACTGCAGAAGAATATCACCTACACGTTTTAGTTGGAATCCCCACTCCCACTGCAGAAGAATATCACCTACACGTTTTAGTTGGAATCCCCACCCCCACTGCAGAAGAATATCACCTACACGTTTTAGTTGGAATCCCCACTCCCACTGCAGAAGAATATCACCTACACGTTTTAGTTGGAATCCCCACCCCCACTGCAGAAGAATATCACCTACACGTTTTAGTTGGAATCCCCACTCCCACTGCAGAAGAATATCACCTACACGTTTTAGTTGGAATCCCCACTCCCACTGCAGAAGAATATCACCTACACGTTTTAGTTGGAATCCCCACTCCCACTGCAGAAGAATATCACCTACACGTTTTAGTTGGAATCCCCACCCCCACTGCAGAAGAATATCACCTACACGTTTTAGTTGGAATCCCCACCCCCACTGCAGAAGAATATCACCTACACGTTTTAGTTGGAATCCCCACTCCCACTGCAGAAGAATATCACCTACACGTTTTAGTTGGAATCACCACCCCCACTGCAGAAGAATATCACCTACACGTTTTAGTTGGAATCCCCACTCCCACTGCAGAAGAATATCACCTACACGTTTTAGTTGGAATCCCCACCCCCACTGCAGAAGAATATCACCTACACGTTTTAGTTGGAATCCCCACCCCCACTGCAGAAGAATATCACCTACACGTTTTAGTTGGAATCCCCACCCCCACTGCAGAAGAATATCACCTACACGTTTTAGTTGGAATCCCCACTCCCACTGCAGAAGAATATCACCTACACGTTTTAGTTGGAATCCCCACCCCCACTGCAGAAGAATATCACCTACCCCCACTGCAGAAGAAAATCACCTACACGTTTTAGTTGGAATCCCCACCCCCACTGCAGAAGAATATCACCTACACGTTTTAGTTGGAATCCCCACCCCCACTGCAGAAGAATATCACCTACACGTTTTAGTTAATCCCCACCCCCACTGCAGAAGAATATCACCTACACGTTTTAGTTGGAATCCCCACTCCCACTGCAGAAGAATATCACCTACACGTTTTAGTTGGAATCCCCACTCCCACTGCAGAAGAATATCACCTACACGTTTTAGTTGGAATCCCCACCCCCACTGCAGAAGAATATCACCTACACGTTTTAGTTGGAATCCCCACTCCCACTGCAGAAGAATATCACCTACACGTTTTAGTTGGAATCCCCACTCCCACTGCAGAAGAATATCACCTACACGTTTTAGTTGGAATACACTGAAATATACTGATGTGAATGTGTCCTTGTGCAAGACACTTTATCCTAATTGCTTTGAATGGCATGTGGCAGGTTTCTCATATGTTGTTCAGTGAAGTAGCCACCAGCTTTTTACAATAAGACCCACCTCAAACTGGCCCTGTGCTTTCTTGCATGATAAACCCAGCCAACAAACAAACAAACTATAATCAATATTCACCAAAGCAAAAGATGATTATTACCATAGTATTCATTCAAAATCAAAAGTACCCATGTAGCCTTGACATTGTGGAATAAAAAACAAAACAATAGTCTTTAACAAAAGTGATATAGTTACATATGAGCCCAGTGAAAAAAATTATCAGCCAAACACATGATGGCTCTCATCCAGTCATAGTTGTTGTTGTAACTTGAACACTCATTGGCCAAGTATTATCACATGTAAGTCCTCCAGAGCAGTGATAGGATGAATCACTACATCTCATCTTGATGCCATTTGTTTTGATTCCCAATATTCCTGTAGTTAATTTTAGGCAATCCAAAATCTGATTAGGTGTAGAACTTTATTTCATGGCTCTCTTTAGTAAAATTGAATGAAGATCTGTGGAGAGACTCTCAATATATGACATTGACTCTGATCAGGACACCATGGAACAGGACAAACAGACATGGTAACACTAAACACTCCATCACAACTCATGGTTGTATAAAAATGTCAGTATCCAATTTACATCCAGATTTCATACAAGGTTTGCTGAAATTTCTTTTGGGTATTAATTTATTAATTAAACAGATCCCAGAGGGATCTTGTGCCCAACATCATATGATCATGACTGGTTAATATATACGTGGGATGTTTTCCATTCTTTCTTCTTATTTGATATAAAATTTTAGAATGATTCATCAACGACTTATCATGAAGTAACCATAACAAACTGTCACTGTTAAAATCCAAGATGGCCACCTGTTGGCCATTTTGATTTTTAGATCAGTCCAAAAATCAAACTTGCACAACACTACTTTGAGAGACAAAGGGGAATCTATATCTACAACCTTTTAACCCACTAACCAGAAGTTTTCAAGAAATATTGATTAAAGCATTGGGGAAGGGTGATTTGAACAACTCATGGCTGATAATTGTGCTTAAAATAAATAATAATTCCATTCTATAGTAGTGACAAGGTTATATATTGGCAACCATCACAAACGATTGTCTTCTGGGTATAGACAGTGGTACATATTTTAATTTTTTTGTTTGTTTGCATTTGTTGACATTTTGATTGGTGAAATCTTGTTATTGAAGAATGACATGCTTGATATACAGCATTGATATTCAAGAGAAAGCACATAAAAACAAAATCTGCATCACATACACAATCATTGTCATATACATGTCTCGGGAGCTCTAGCTATCCTGACAATGGATAGAAGAACAGAAACAGTTTATCGGTTGATAAGGAATGTATGTGATGGACAGCTCAGCAAAACATAACCTGTACTGTTTACAAAAATACATCACAAGGATCACAGGTAATTACATACCTTGTTTGTCCTGCTTCTCCAAATCATCATAATTAAACAAACATGTATGTAAAAAAAAGAAAATTATGCTCTATGTTGAGCTGAGTGGAAAACATGTTGTTAGTTAAAATCTGCAATGTGTGTTGGTATGATATACTCAAGGCTTGAATATGACAGCTTAAATACTATGCTACAAAGTCCAAATAACAGTAAACCTTGGGTGAAATTCTGAATATGATATGTGAGGTTGGATAGTTATGATATTATACAGATATTTATTGTCGACTATACATTATTGAATTATAAACACATACTAGCATGCTCTTATTTATATAGCACCTATATGTAATTGAACAGTTTGAATTGAGTTCAACACAAATGTTGAGACTGCTGCCAGAAAAGAAACTCCTACAGTATGTCTCACTTGACAACATGTAAGAAAACATAAGAATGCTTTTTACTTCTATTTATTCTGAAGATATTTTTCCTTTATTATTTGACCATGCATAACAGTTACAAAATGTCTTCTTTAAAGATACTGATGTTCCTTAAAATTCATTTACACATGTGGTATATAATTATATGAAATAATATATATTATTTAATATATACGATAACATCTATACTATTGATTTATATCAAATTGCCTTCTTAATTAACAATAAAGAAAATAAGTTCAGCATCAAGAATTCATCACTCCTACTAACCAGAGCTTCAGCATAACCTGATAAGGAAATGGAATGATATTAAAATTCAACTCTCAAAAAACTTATCATAATATCTGTACATACATAAATCATAGATTGTAAAGTTCATGAGAAGTACACAGTGTAATATTACATTGTGAGGTATTTAACTATTCCCTGTAACACTTCAAGGATGACAAAATATCCGCTCCACCGTCCACACATTAAGGGAGACAATAGGGGGTTTATCATAGAATTTTGCATCAATGGTAAAATTAGCAGAGATCATTGTAGATACAGCGTAAGATCAAACAGCCCCTATTGTCATTAATGTTAAGCACAGGAAAAATTGTTGAAAATTTCTGCATCATTCAAGTAAAGAATCTATAGTTGAGGAGATTCTCATAAATTATTTCCAGCTGATGGTTGGGAGGATACTTATCATGAAGCCCAATTTAAGCCTGGCTTTTGTTCTGTAGCAGGAGTACATACACATGTAGCAGTATCTATATAGTCATCCCTATTATCAGACTACAGATAGCATCAGGTGACCTGGGAACAATGTTGTTCCATCAATAATTCAAGGAAGCAGGTCTGCGACAGCAATCACAAATATTACCAATTACTACACTGTAATCTAATACATCTCTGTTTTAATACCATTTACGGTATACTTTCTCAAATGTTGAACTTGAACTACTCATTTAATATGCTAGAATACCAAAAATATTCATTTCATCTCCCAATTTCAGTTGACATTACTTTCAATGTACAGTTATCACACATTAACTTAATTTTCTCTCACCACAATACATTTTCTGTTTATACTCACAGAATTTTTCCTTATCTCAAACTGTCTGTACATTTACCAAGCACATAAACTCCATTTTATTACATTCATTGCAGTGAAAATATGTCTTGATACTTTTAATCATTTTTGACCAATCAGATCACTGCAATTGCAATGACAATATCTATTATCCCAGAATGCACCACAGACATCTTGAGCAACAACTTGGGTAGAAATAGCCCTATTAAATGGTAGGAAACTTCCTTTTCTTTAATGCATTGATTCTGGTCAATCTGAATTTAAGAAGGGTGTCTCATGCTACCATGTATATGATATTTATGTGTTGTTAAATAAATTTGATGGTCTGCGTCTCAGATGTAGAGCTAAATATCCAGCAGAGTAACAATAACAGAGCATGCATTTCAAGAAAGAGCGGCAAGTTCAAACTAATGAGAGGAGAGAAAAACCAGGATGGGTAAATTTTGTCTGAAAGGCCGTCGCAATAGGCTATTTCGTACCGAGTACGTTTAGCCTAAAAGTAATAACACAATACTCATTGTTTCTTGATGAATAACAATTATATTCCGTCGTGTTGGGTGAAAAATTTGATATCTTTCATGAGTACATATTCATTCCACCATCTTTCATCACATATTCATGTACATTTATCAAGCACATTTACTCCACTATCTCTTGTACTATATCATATTCTCTGTACATTTATCAAGCACATTTACTCCAATATTTTTCTTAAACGTGTCAGCACACATGTATGTTTTACCATCTAACAATTCAATTATGGAACTGTTCAAGGTGGGAGGTCACAGAGACACAATCACCTGTTGATGCCAATATCTTGACCCACCAATGGAATAACAGTTTTAATTGATGTTTAATACTCACGATATAAAAATAACATTAAACCTTTCTTGAAACTCTCCTGTCCAGGTAAATAAAGAAATAATAACAACAACAATGAACATCTCACTCTCAGTATTTTCCCTATGACATGATTCCAGGGCTACGTATTGATCTCCTTTTTACTTTCCCCTTTTTAGGTCCCTAAACCCTCAAGCTCATCCCTACCTAATTCCCTCTCTCTCAATCTCCCTAAAGTTTCCAGTCAAGAATTCTTTAAGTATTTAACAAGTATATATGTATATGATAATGTCATGGTTAGCAACTGGATACATTTAACATCAGACAGCTTGCATTGTTTAAGGATTGTAACATTTTCATCAATTTTAACAAGATTTACCTTTATGGTATGTATATTCAACGATTCTATGAAGCTATATTAATAAAGCTGCTACATTTTTTGTACCTTGTCAGATTTACTGGTCAAGGTCTTTACAGGCTCTGACTATTTATGTATCTGTTACTCAATGTTGTAGTAAAGCCACTTAGCACTATTGCAGCCTAAGAGCCCTACCCTGGGAATGTGTGTGCCCTACCCTCTGGGCTATATATAAATCTGACCTAATGAGCTTTACATGACTGCTATAAGACACATAATCTGTTAAGTTCACAAGTGAGCAGTGTAAGTAAGGTGTGAGTAGTCAGACAGTGGTCAAACAACTAACTGATTTAGGGATATAGTGTTATCAGACCTGCTTGTTGTCACTTACTGA